TATTTATAGTGAGCAATACTTCAAATAAGGTATTTTATATTTACTGTTGGCCCACATATGTAACAGAGTTTGTTGTTGTGAAGTGAAACAATCTGGACACAGTTTCTTGTTACAAATACAACTACTGAGCCACTGACAATAAACAATAATCAGGTATAGAAGAAATTGAAAACTAAACATTCTGGTCAACAACCTCAAAACTTACATCTTAATCATCTGATTATATACATAAATCTATGACCTAAAATTCTAATGTTTGACCTTACAAGTGTTCTGCATGACAAATAGATGAGAGCGTTCTTTTTCCCTTCACTACAGCMTTTCATTAAAAAGCACTTGAGTCCCAGGAGGATGTGCTTGTTGTGCTGAACAATGACTCCTCTTCATCATTCACCTCCGCTTGCAGCATCGGCTGTCGGGGGTAGCAGTGAGCYAGGGGCTGYGCGTACATTTAAATGAGGCGGGCGGTGTCGGATTGTAAACACAGACCAGAGTCCGTCAGTGCGCTGCGAGTGTTACAGAGTGGATAAGTTGTGTTTGTGTATTCCCAAGTACATCTCTCTGGGCAGCTACAGTACATTAGGCTCCATGGCAGCTGAATATTTGATGCAGTGCACTGCACGTTTACTTTTATTTACTGAAGCAAAACACTAAATCCTAAATTGTGAGCTGATGTGAGGTGTGTTCCAGTGACTTCTCCAGCTGGCTGCTTTAAGGGTAACAGCAGGTCTACATGAAGTGCGGGGATGCAAAGGAAAAAAAAAACTAAAAAGGTATAAATGATCAACTAGTAGAAAATAAATGGATGCAACAATCTAACCCAGAAGGTGCAGGGATTTATTTTTGTTTGTGCGTTGACTCTTTTTTTAATTCACAGACCTACCATGCATGCATTTAGACCCAGGAGTCAACAGGCTGGGGTTTAACGTCACAAGCGTCCACCAGACTGACCGCAGGCCTGTTACTCCTGATATAGTGCTTCCTATTTGTGTCATTCTGGAGCCACAGCAGGATGAGTTAGGAAAAAAAACAGTAAAACAAAAAGAGGTCATTACATTTGACATATATGCTTCGTCACTCACACACACACATGCATCCAGGGTCAGAGAAGCCAGCATTAGTTCCCTGATTTTAGGAAGGYCTTTGGAAAGAAGTCAGAAAGGTTACAAAAACAGGCAAAAACCATGCAAATCAAAAGAGAGAGACATTTGAAGAGCCAAGCTACAGTCAGAGCAGGAAGGATCATCTCTGGGAAGCACGGATGGCAACGTAGTAAAGTTTTGCGTACTCTGAGAACGAGCACACCTCCCTGCTGTGATTACCTCTGTTTGGAGTATCTGAGTGTATTTCCAACATGCGCCCGTTTGTTCAACAAATGTGACATGAATGNCAGTGAGCGAGGGGCTGGGCGTACATTTAAATGAGGCGGGCGGTGTCGGATTGTAAACACAGACCAGAGTCCGTCAGTGCGCTGCGAGTGTTACAGAGTGGATAAGTTGTGTTTGTGTATTCCCAAGTACATCTCTCTGGGCAGCTACAGTACATTAGGCTCCATGGCAGCTGAATATTTGATGCAGTGCACTGCACGTTTACTTTTATTTACTGAAGCAAAACACTAAATCCTAAATTGTGAGCTGATGTGAGGTGTGTTCCAGTGACTTCTCCAGCTGGCTGCTTTAAGGGTAACAGCAGGTCTACATGAAGTGCGGGGATGCAAAGGAAAAAAAAAACTAAAAAGGTATAAATGATCAACTAGTAGAAAATAAATGGATGCAACAATCTAACCCAGAAGGTGCAGGGATTTATTTTTGTTTGTGCGTTGACTCTTTTTTTAATTCACAGACCTACCATGCATGCATTTAGACCCAGGAGTCAACAGGCTGGGGTTTAACGTCACAAGCGTCCACCAGACTGACCGCAGGCCTGTTACTCCTGATATAGTGCTTCCTATTTGTGTCATTCTGGAGCCACAGCAGGATGAGTTAGGAAAAAAAACAGTAAAACAAAAAGAGGTCATTACATTTGACATATATGCTTCGTCACTCACACACACACATGCATCCAGGGTCAGAGAAGCCAGCATTAGTTCCCTGATTTTAGGAAGGYCTTTGGAAAGAAGTCAGAAAGGTTACAAAAACAGGCAAAAACCATGCAAATCAAAAGAGAGAGACATTTGAAGAGCCAAGCTACAGTCAGAGCAGGAAGGATCATCTCTGGGAAGCACGGATGGCAACGTAGTAAAGTTTTGCGTACTCTGAGAACGAGCACACCTCCCTGCTGTGATTACCTCTGTTTGGAGTATCTGAGTGTATTTCCAACATGCGCCCGTTTGTTCAACAAATGTGACATGAATGTCTAAGAATCAAAACCTGCTTGGGAAAAAAAAGAATCTGCTGGAACAAAACAGATTAGCTAAAAAAAAAGCTTCATGGGACACATAGCAAAAGATATARGGCAACACTACTGGCATGATTCTGATTTGGATCCAGCAAGGATGGGATTTTTGTTCAGAACCATTTTCTTAGATTTTCAGGAATTGTTTTTAAACGTATATTTTTTGTATAAAAATCCCTTCATGCTTCTTTTTGAAGTGAAGTTCAAAGTGGGTGAGAAATTGGACACGCTGTACACATGCAGTACTTTGAAGTGAAGGTTTTAATAGCTGAAGCCAACACCATATCTCACTATTAAAACCAGACTGTTGATGAGTCTGAAAATGCACTGACTGTGTGGCTGGAGGTGCAGCAGAGCACATGTGTGAGAAACCAAAAGAGCAACAATAATTCTAACTGATGTTCAAATACCTTGATGGGTAGGGGCAGGGGGTACCACTGATTTCCTTAATTTTGGGAGATCGGGGATCGGCCGATACTCAGATAAGATRGGTGGAAAATATCTGCTTCTCTTCTACCTCCACAAAGGTCTGAAAATCAACAACTGTCCTCTTTTGCTCTGCTGTGAGCACTACCTCATGTCCAGTTAAAGCAAGTTTGTATTGTTTCACAGGTATTGTTCAATGTTTTTCAATAAAATAAGATTGGAACATTGAAGGTGTARTGTGACCRTYTAACATCTAAAAGTGTCAGTTGTATAAAAATCTGTATCGGCCAAAATCATAATCAGCAGGTCAGACWTTTTAAAGACCGTTGATCGGCCAGGYAACAGTAATCTGTGTTCTACATTTTAGAGTAATACCTGTAACGCCGGTTTCACACAGCAAGATAATTGTGCCAAAGTTGGGCCAGATTTTGMCCTGACATTCTTAAGGATGCTCCAATTATCATGATGGCTCTAAAGATAATCTTATGAGGTCTTCCTGCCGTGTGTGGTGTGCTGAGAGGGATCTAGTCGGCTCAGAAGGATGTTGGGACCGCTCCGATCTTAAATCGGGGATATTCAACATGTTGTCAGCGTGTATGGTGTTCCCTGAGGACAAACAAGCATGCAGCCTTTCGAATGTGATGTGTAGCCAATCAGAAAGCGATTTGARGGAAACACAGAGTGAAATACAAAATACAGAAGACAGAACAACTGCCATGGAACATCAGAAAGTTCCGTGGTCATCTGAGACGTCTTTGTGTTTCGTTTATCACAATGTGTGGGGTCTCTCAGTCTTTGAAAACCAGCAGACAATTTTAAAATCTTGTTGTGAACCAGGCATTACTCTTAACAATGGCAGTAGATCCTTTACAGTAGACTTTTCAAACTAGAAACTGCTTTTCGGTTTGACATTTCATTTTTCAATAACATTACATTTAAGGGGTGGGGGGGGGGGYCCCTTTCTGAAACACATTTTACCAGTCAACCTAGAATTGTTTCAAAATTCAGGTAAAAAAAGAGCAAAACTAAACTTGGTTTAAATGATATTAGCATGGGAATCTTTCTTAGAAAGGACTTTAAACCTGCATAAAGAAGCAACCTCATCACTGTTTGCATTTCAGAGTCCCGACAGGCAAATTCCATCCACCGCACACTTTAATAGATAAAAACTAAACAATCAAGAAGTACTTGGAAGTCATCTGACATGTCAGACATCCTCTGAGGCCAATATCTTCTGACTCCACTTTGAGGCTGGATTGCCACTAGGCTTGACAAAAACAAACCGTGGCTGCAGCGTGCATAATCAGCAGACGACCTCTTCATAATTCCCCTTCGCCCGTTTCAGAAACGGGGCTCGTCGGCGGGAAGTGGGCTTGTGCTGGCAGTTCTTTTAATCAGTCGCAGATTAATTACCTTACAGACTCCAAAAGCTTACACTCAATTAACTGGTGGCTCCCAGATCTGAGGCTGTGGCAACATTAACAGACAACAACAACTCGCAGCCTCTTTAAAGAGTCGACAGTATTAAGAGCCTCTAATGAGGGGCCACTGCAGAAGGCACGAGAGAAAGACAGCAAAGAGAGAAACACACGTAGAGGGAATGTGGTCGGTTTGTCTTGCCACATGAAATCATTATTTGATGTTGCGTGCCCTGAAACCTAGATGAGATCAGAGGTTGAGTTTTACCTTTAATGGTTCTCGTTCTGTTGGGTCGGTTGAGCCATCGTCTGTTTTATATTTGCAGTCCTTGTCCCTCTGGTCAATGGTGGAGTAACCATCTAATGAGGTCAGAGAACAAATCACTTAATTCCTCTGACTACAAAAGGAAAAAATATATATAAATAAAGTGTAAGAACAATTAAAAAGAAAATATCCCCATGAATGCATTCACACTCCTAGTTTTTGCTTTTTTTGGTCAATCATTCTGTCAGTAGGCTCCGAACAGAGTATTTCAAGTATTATATTTACATCTGTTGGGTACAATGCACAAGATTTGATCTTAAAACATGTCATGTCGTCATGACAGCTCATACGTTAACAATATGACCTGACATGTGGGAGACTGATGGGATCGACTGAGAATCGACATTTATGAGGTTTTTACTCTCAYATGTTTCACTGGTGTTACAGTGATGAGCAAAATAATGAGAACAGTGAGTTCTGTCGCTGCACCCCGACTCCCACTGCTGTCTGAACAGAAATGTGCCGCAGACAGAGTTCAAGCTTCTATTCAMCCATGAATTACACTAAAATGCAACTTTTTTTGTTGGATTGGATCAGTAACTGTGATTATAAAAAACAACTGCTCATAATATCACTGGGGAAATATTTGGAGAATACTCTGTGTGCTTTATGGACATGAGCAGGCTTATTAATTCAGTCACGTTTGGTAATCTTATTCATGATTTTAGTCACATGTCTGGTAAAAAATATACAAGGAAAAGTCACAGTAAGTTTGCCATTTGCAGGAGCAGGAAAGTATATCAAAATTGTCTGAATCATGAATCATATATGTATCTAGTACACATATAAGGGGTGTCCCATGTATGTATTTGTACTGTACATATTTCAGGGTGCAGTGTATGCAATCAGGACACAAAAAAATCATCAATCCCACTTATATTAATACACTAGATATGTTTTATTGATTTTTTCCAAGTATCACAACAAAAAAAGTTGTAAAGTTAAATACTATGTAAAGCACTATGCATCAAAGCAAAGTAGGAATGAAGAGTTCAGCTTTAGGACCTTCATGCTCTGTTTCAAATCAGCAGTGTGGAAAAATTTATCGTTCATGATAATCCACAGCAGGAGTTGAAAGTGAGAGGTGGATGTATGGAAAGCCAGAAAGGTCATAATTAATTTGAAATGCTCTCTACCATCGAATAAATACTATTAAATATGCAACAAGTCATTTAATAAGCCCCAACTGTGTGTGAACAGCAAACTAGCACACAACTTGTTGGAAAGTGCGATTCTTTAATATTTTATCTATTTAGTATTTTCACATTAAGATTTGTTTATTCTATATTGCCTTTTAGTTTACATCATAGGCCAAGTTACTGTTATGCTTTGATCATTTGCTTCTTGTGCTTTTTGCTTGATGTGACCTGTAGTACACTGATTACAGTTCAAACTGGATTAAAAGCATAAATAAATGGCTATTTTTATTTTTTTTAGGTTAATAGTGAAGTTATGAGTTGACAAGTCATACTGTACTGTAAGCTACATTATACTCCCTACCAATATGTGTAGTTTGAAACAGGAATAAAATAAAGAACTTAGTATTTGACTTTTTTTATTATACCCAAATCATAACCCAAAAACTGTAAGTACAAACGCTGATACACTTGTAAAGGTTATTTTGCAAAATAAAACGATAATTTTAACAAAACACTATTATGTTGCTATAATCATTGGGCCAAATGAGCAGTGGTTGTGTTAACATTATGGTGTCCTGATACTGGTATCAGCATCAGACCCTATGTAACAGAATTTTCAAAAGTACTTGTACAAACTGCCTCCACACTCGGGACCAATAACAACACAGGCGTTGCTTTTTCATTAAATGTATTAGTTACATTTCAAGTGAAAAGTTGTCAGTTCCATGGTCAAAAAATGTACACAAGTTGAAATAAAATCCTTGTCTTATTTGTATCTTTGTCTTATTTCTTGTATTATTATTACTCTTTGTGTAATTTTTATTTACCGGTATTTGAAAATGTTGCAACAGTATACTGTATATCATGCTGTATATTTGATTTAATCCAGTCAAAGGGGCTGCAGGCCTAAAAGGAAGGACAGCCACCTTGTTCTACATGAAGAAAAGTGTTTTCCAAGTKACTGTGTAATGTTTTAGTTCTAACTCAGTGAGTACACATTATCAGCAAGTACCCAAACTGAAGTACTTGTACTCGGTTTGAGAAAAACTGGTATCAGGACACACCTAGTTAACATTTAACATTAAATTTAATATGGCAGCAGTAGATGAAAATAGCAAGTCTATCAAACAGTCTATGTCACGTCATTAAATGTATAACTGTACGGCAGTGACAGCGAGGAGAATTTAACCTGAGGATGCCCTCTCCACTGTCAACATGAGATGAGAGATCACTGTCTCTTTACAGCTGCAGGTTTTTTCTGAAAACGTGCTCTGCCACAAAAAGTGAGATCAACTTAACAAGCAGACAGCACTGAGACAGGAGCAGTCAGAAATGTTTTATTTAGTCAGTCGCTTTCAAGAAGTTTTGTCAAGTTTGTTGGAAAGTGACATCTGCTTATTTTTTTGATGTCTTGTGTTTCTTACTGTTTATGTCACAATGTTGTCACCTGAAGAACTGCAGATGGAATTCAAAAGGTTTGCTTTTTTAAGCTTCTGTTTGGCTGCAAGTTTTTAATGAATGACAAACTGGTTGATGATTTTCRAAGTGTTATTAAAGCAGAAAGGCTGTTCCAAAAAAATAAATATGTGAGYATGTGTGTTATTTGTCAGTCTGCGTTATCTCCCTCTTGTGCTCCCTCATTGTTATCACACATTCCCCTCAATCTGGTTCCTGTTGTTTAATCATCCTCACCTGTTCAGTCATCTCCAATCAGTCCTGTTCCCAGGTGTTCCTCATTTCCTCATTCCTCTGTCTGCATAAATACCTTTCTCTTCAGTTCATTCCTCGCTGGATCATTACATGGATTACTCCTACTGTTTTGTTGTCATCGATGTCCCTCAGAGTTTTAGTTTTATTTTAGCTGCCCTGACAGCTCTTTGTTTTGTTTGTTTAAATAAATCTTTTTATTTAAATCTCATCCTCCGTCCGGATTTGGGTTCATTCTGCACCTCAACCTAACAAAATAAATAAAAAAAGTTTCCCTACAGAAAGTGAGGGTACAAAGCTTAGTGTTCCAGCTTTCAACTTCGACTGTAACGTGTTTTAGTCCTAGTTTAATTTTCAGTACGAGTCCCAGGAGGGAGTGTGAGATGTTTGAAATAAACAGGCTCAAAGGCTCAGAGGAAATTCAGCTTCATAAACTCCCGGAGGCCGACTTCGGGTWAGTGAGGAAGTGACAACATGAAGGACAAAAAAACTCTGAAAAGACACTGCTGAGTAAAAACAAAGACTTAAGGACAGTAAAAGTTACAGTTTGATATTTACTGTGACGAGAGCACAGCAGAGAAAACCTGAAGCTCAGTCTGAAGTCTAAAGTTAGGTTTATAGTTGACACAGAGCGAGGGGGCGGGCACCAGTAGTGACGCAATCGAGCCGTCCCACCCTGCATGTTGACCCTGTGCGTGTGTCCCGGCGCGTGGTTGTGCACCTCCGAATTTTTGTAACTCCACAAAGGCTGCGCAAACTACAACTCAGCCTTGAAGATTTTACTCTCAAACTAATAAAACAAATGTCCGTTCTGCTGGATGGTCCATCAAGCAGACTGGATCTTACCTGGACACAGCTCGTATAAAACGTATCATTTCAACACTGCCACATTTCCTGCTGCCTAAAAAGCATTTATACATCATTTGTCCAAAAAATAATAATCCTCCACAAACAAGCTGAGTTGCAGGGCCAAAACAGCTGCAGCTTTTTGAGGATAATTTTGGGCAGTGATCATATAATGCACACAGAGTGTGGAGGCATGAGTGTCACCAGAACTTAATGAAGACAAAAAATAAAAAATAAGGAGGAAAATGCTGCTTTGCCAAAGAGAAGCTCATTTTTTAGAGAATGTACTTTATAATTTCCACTCTTACAATTTAATAAACAGCTACTGTTAGAAAAACTCTAAGAATCTGTTGTTTTTTCCTCCCGGTTGACAAACAACTTATTCACAAACATATTTACTGTACAAGTGGCTGAAATGTTTCACCTGATGCTACAGCAGTTTAAATTGAACAACCTGAAGTGAAACTCATATTGTCCCATCATGTTAAACGTATATAAATGTCTATGTTTCAACCTTAAACAAAACATCAGCACACTAAAGGATGAGTTATGGTATTGTAAGCATAGCTTTATCAAAATAGCCATGATAAAAACAGAAATACATACACAGCGAGCAGACACACACAGTCAGATAATTATGTTTTAATATTTTCTAGTACTTTGGTTTTACCAGCTTTGAGGATTCTCAGGGTTGAATCATTTATCTAAGGACATTCTTGGAAAAATGTGCTTTACTATTTCTCTTTTTCAAAAATTCTGTATTTGAAGGATATCTTTTTGATGAAATGATGATCTAAGAATATAATTTGATACAGTTGCTGTCACAAATATCCCATGTAAAAAAAATATGACAATAAATATGACAACAAATAAATAAATAAATAAATAAATAAATAAATAAATAAATAAATAAATAAAACAATGAAAAACACATTTTTCAGCCAAACATATTTTTGAATCATTCTTTCCAAACTAGGACTTGTTTTTTAAAAACATGGCTCCATGTACAGTAAAAATTTGTAAAAATTTACTTACCATGTGAACAAATGCTAACTAAGACCTTTGATGTTCGCATAACATTTCATTTGGACAAAATGTGAGTCCTTTAATTTTAACTTGAAGTGTAAGCTCCACATAAACTGTCAGACATGAGAAATACAGTATTTGTTAAACTCTTCTCTCCAAGACAACAGAATAGTGTTATTTAAGCCTTAATCCTTTTGCTATTTCTGCTCCTTCCCAGAAATTCATCTGAACAGGTCAAAAGATGGACAAACACACACACACACACACACACACACACACACACACACACACACACACAC